TCCACTTGATACAAGCTTGCTTTCAAACATGGCTCTCCTATTCTAGGGATTCCACCCTTCTTATTGAACAACCATCTTCAACTAAAAACCTTCTTATTTTTTGGCATGTCTATCAGCTCCCAATTATTGCTCTTCTTGAGGGAGATCATCCCTTCATTCATAGCTAGCTTGTATTTATTTCTTTATGCACTTTCCATGACTCCTTCATAGAAATTTGGTTCATCACGTGATAAAAAATCAGCCAAAACTACATAAGAATTAATATTTGTACATCATACCCTTGTGGTGCATGAACCATACGCTTAGGTCTTTCCTTTGCCAAACCAAATGTCCTTTGCACTTCCTCAATAGTTTCTTGCCTAAGCTCTTTAGGTGCAACTTCAATTGATTCTTGATCATTTCCTTCAAGAATTTCATGATTCCAAGCTCAATTTGCAATTTATGATTTGCATCAACATTCTTACTTTGAGCCACAGGTCTTGAAACTAAAAATGCCACTTGTTGTTCATTAAAAATAACATTTAAATTTATCAAACAATTAGCATGTCATGATTCCAAACAATAAAAATTAACTATTTTAATTTATTAGGCTATCCAATAAAAATACATTATAATGCTCATGGTCCAAGTTTGTCCTACCTAATCTCAGCATAAGCAATAAAACAAAATACCTTTAGCCTATTGTAGTCTCTTGGTTGTCCAAAAAACCTCTCTTGTGTATTCTTAAACTCAATAGCAGATGAAAATGCTTGTAAATCAAATAGGTGGCTGTAAACGCTCCTACCCAAAATGTATTTGGTAGATTGCATTATTCAACATGCATTTTGCCCTTTCAAGAATGATCCAATTGTCGCATTTGGCTAGCCCATTTTGCTGAGAAGTTAAGCTCACAGTGAAATTTAGAGCTACTCATTGCTCCTTGCAATATTAATCGAAAAGATATGAGCAAAAGTCAAGGTTGTTGTCAATTCTCAGCTTCCCTACCTTCTTTATTATTTAAGTTGCAACCAAAGTTTTCAACCATTAGATATTCTAAAAGCTTCACTTTAAGTTTCAAGAAATACGCCTGTCATTTAAGGAACAAAAAAGGATCATCAATAAAAGATATAAAATAACTTCACCTGCCAAGTTCACTTCATGGATGGACATTGATACTTGTATTTTAGTAGTTTTTTAATATATTCATATGTTTTTCACGTAACATTGAAAAATCCACTACCTTAATCCAATTATATATGTTGATATAAAAATATGAAATAATTTGATACCAAACATCATTTGTATAGATTACTTAGACTTTTCACAAATACGGAGTGATTAGAGCGATAGGCAGATGCCCATATTTTAGAATCAACAAAGTTCATTGCCAATTTCAATGCCCAAGTGCACACTTCCAAATTTCTTAAGAATAATCAAGCGCCAGAACTCAAAAACAGGCACCAATCGTAGCACACAAAAGCTCAACTTACTGTTAGACCCCATAAAAGATGGTTTTTTAAAAAAAAAAAAAAAAAAAAAAAAAAAAAGATTTTTCTAAGGTAATTCACTTATGAAATTTTTATAACTTAATTAGGCAAATTGTTATGATTGGAGAGCTCAATTCATAAAAATGAAAGGTGGCTACAAAGGATCTAAGCGAGGCCCTATGGAATCTGAGTTTTCTTCTTCTCTTCTCCTTACATGTTTTCTATTTCTATTATATATTGTATTGTTTCTTTTCACTCTAGCATGAACTAAAGTCCATTTTTAAGGATTAGACGTAGTCGAAGGACTAATATTAGTTTTTTCGCTCAGATAATTATTCAACTTTGTGCTCTGAACGATTGTTGCAAATATTGAATCTATTCTTAATGCTCCTTCGATTAACTAACCACTAATAGAGAGGTTTCAAAATCCGCTAGAAATCAAGTGGAGAACACATTTATCATGATTGAAATTCTTCCATGTATTGTAGGATAAAGATGACTATACTTTTCTTGTGTAAACGTTTAGATCAGTGTCCAGTTTATTGCAATTGTTTAATATTGAATTTATCTCAAAGATGACAATATAGGTTGTGTCACGAAATTAGTTTTCCTAAATTTTTTAGTGAATGATAGAGTATAACTTAGATCTGATTACAACAAATATTTTATAATTTATGTCGTTTGATTTAATTAATAAGTAATCATCTGAAATTGTTTTGATAAAACCCAATATTCTTAGATCCTCATACCTGTTGAAATCTATCACAATACTTGTTTCAACAATCACAAAGAAATTTTTTATATTTTCTTAATAAATATTTTCATCGAAACCACTAAACTATTTAAACCACTCAAATAAAGTTAGCATCGTTCAATTTTAGTACTTAGTGATTGTAATCCCTATAAGAGGATATTTGAATTCATCACTATATTCCTTATTTGATAGCATACCACATTTGTCATTTTGGATAACAAAGTTTTGACGTCACCCTGTCATTAATATCAATATTAGACAAATTCTACCATTAATTTGATTTATATTTTCTGCCTAATGATTGTGCTTTGTAATCACTTTTCTAGTATACTTTGTACTATATAAGTCATTCTAAAGGTGATTCGTTGCGTCCTTTGAAACCCAAGATCAAGACTTTATTTGAGGAATTTGAAGGAGCTAAAGCAACCCATCAAATTCACTTCAAAAACTATAGCAAACCATGAAGAAGCTGTTGTGAGCCTTACTATGAGGCCTGGGAAGTACCAGACCATACTTTGCTTATTACTCATGGCATCCCCCACACAATTATCAAAGCCTAGAATTCTGAGGAACATTTTTAAGATCAAGCAAACCACATTGCAAATTTTACAAAACTTCCAATTTAAAGGTTTGTGGATAGAAGACTCAAACTAAACATTAGCAATTTCATGGAGATCTATGAAGCTTTTAAATATAATGACATAGCAATTTCATCGATGTACCCAAATTATTAACGTTAGTTTCTTGTTAATAGTCATTCAACATTGATGCTCTTAATGATTGATATGTATTTCAATCTATTCTTAATGTTCTTGTGAAAAATGGCTATTAAATGTGAAATTTGAAGATTTGTTCTAAATTGAGAGATAGAAAACAAATTCATGATGATTAAAATACCTTGACAAATAAGGATAAATTTATCTACATTACATTTGTGAGATCATTTAGATTCTTGTCCTGTTTAATGCAAATTTTCAAACATTGAATATAACTCAGAGATGACAATAAATTGAGTTGCAAAATTAGCAGTACTATATTTCTGAGATAATGGTAGGTGCAATTTAGATAGGATTACAACGAATAATTTTATTTCATTTCATAAACTTAATTTGTAACCTCATAAAATTATTTTGGTGAAAATCAATCTCAAAATCCTCATTAAAATTTACACTATACTTGCATGCAATTATTTTGGTGAAAATCAATCTCAAAATCCTCATACTCATTAAAATTTACACTATACTTGCATGCATTAGTCACTTAAAAACTTTTTTGATTTTCTTAGTATGGTCTTTTTGTTCGACCCCTAAATGATTTTAACCCTTTAAATGAAGTTAGAATTAGCCAATTTGATGCTACGTAATTGCAATCTCTATAGGACTATCCATGTGCATCATTATATTTTTTGTTCGATTATATACTCTTATGTGTTTTGTTTTATGTGACAGCCTAAAAGATCTAAATGCACATATTTTAAATTTTTTTAGATGTGTTCAGAAGTGGCAAACTTCAACATGTTGAATTTTTCTACTGCATAATGTTAAAAAAAATCCAAGTTTAAAGGGCTCTTGTATTTCAAAAATAAAACATTGTTTGTACAGTTCTTGAAGCCTATTTAGCTTATAAAATTCTTAATCTTGGTGCCATAATTTAGTTTCACCAGCAAGATTATAAAACATATCAACATATCCTCCAATCATCATTTTACTTTATAGTGTATACACTCCAGTCATAGAAATGCCCTTCAAGATGACCCAAAAGCCTTTACTTCCACCATCTATGTCCACAGTGATCTATATCACCGAGAAAAATTCAATTTCCTCCAAGTTCAAGAAAAAACCTTTCTTTAGCAGTTTCTTCATACCATCATGGAGTTTGAGTCCAATGACTCATTCACCCTGAACGTTGCAAGCCTTACTGTTTCCAAGATACACCATGCCACCTTTTTCGCTAGGAAACTCAAATCAACTCTCGTTTGGGCACATATGATACAAGTACGCAAAATCAAGGATCCACTTATTGCTTTGCTTATATTAGAATCTAGGATTTTTAAAGCATAAGTGTTGTCTCAATAATCCTAGATAGTTGTATCATCTCCTACTCTAACCCTTCTTGGTTATAGGTCTTTCTCGTTTATTATTGCTTCCCGAAATGGACTTCTTTAACAAAGAAAGCATTTCCTTCTTACCTTTAACTTGGATCTTGACAATTTCTTTGCTTCTGGCTCCCACTCTCATGATCTACCTCACATAGTTAGCCTTTTAGTTGCTCTATCAGTCGATTTGCAGTATAACTTAACTATCAATGCTACTCTTGATGAAATTTAACCCCTAGACATTCAATATCTAATTTACAATCCATAACAAATTCCGTTTTCAATAGTTATTCATTCTATATTTTTATTAATCAAAAACTTGTTTTAATTGTTTGAATAAAATTAAAATAAACACAACTTTAATATTTGATACTTTCAATCAATACGTTTTATCACTTTAGTGATTGTATGACTGCGAAATCTTGCATCTGTAACAATGGTTATTTTAAATGTGAACCAAAACATTAATACATCAAATAAAAAAGGTAACGCCAATGGTACATTTTCCATGTCATGAATCATTGGAGGGGCTTTTTAGTATGTATGGATTTTCATTTTGTGTTTCCCGCTCCAATCAATTCTATGGTAGGCAAGTTTTAAAAATGTAAAGCAAAGGTGACATACCAAACAATAACTGTTTTAAAATTTTAAAATAAACTAAACTAAGATATCGCTTGTGGTATACCTCCTCCAAAAAGGAATTGGTCTTCGGGGCTCATATGGCTCATAAACAAAACCAGGGCTAAGCATGGTCACCTTTAATGATGTCTGCAAGCAATCATAAGAGAGAAATTTTTAAGAGAAAATGTAAGAGCTTAACAAAAAGAACTTAAAGTACTAGCCCATACTTCATGTAAAAATAAGAACGTCCATGCCCACCACAACATTAATGAAAAGAATGATCGGCTAATGCCTATGGCATATGACTTGAAAGAATCATGAAATTAGAGTAAAACTTGTTTCTGATGCAGATAAAATTCCTTTAGTCTTATTTCAAACAAGAGATCATAGGGCAGAAGATTAATTAGTGTTAGCACCCCCCACACATTCCTTCAAATAGCTTTACTTTGTGGTAATATAAAAGTTAGAAAAAATATTTACAATAGATCAAGATACTACTAACAATAAAACCAAAATAACAAACAACACTTAACACTAACAATAGAGAAAAAAACACCATCAGGGTACAAATAACTGATCTCTGTCAAATTTCATAGGATATTACGCAAGGATTTCCAATCCAAGGCAAAAAATGGTTGATCAATTCTAGCTTGACCGGATAGAAATCGGCCTTAGCCACAAATCTATTACAAATCTATACACGCTTAGTATGAGAAATTCCACTTGACCTGAAGCTTAAAGTAATATTTTGAAACTATCACAATACTCACAAAAGGGATTACAAAACATGATGAATGCATGCATCATAAAATCTAGGAGACTAGACCGCTATTCTGGATATTTCACCAATCAACCATGTGAACAAGAAGAATATTCAATTCTTTGTTAAAGTTAGTATGATATATAGTGTGGACTCCTGTTATAAATAATATACAAATCATTATCCAGCAAAATCAAGATGAAATGGAATATATCAACTTAAGTTTGAAAACAATAGTAATTAAAGATAAAACAATGAATGATTTTATCATATGGAGATTGTAGGTGTCGCAAGGAAAGTGCAACCATTCAAAGAAAGAGAAAGTAGTGTGAATTGGACTAAAAGAATTAAGCATGAGATTCGAGTAGGAGAATACATAAATAAGGTTCTTAAATAGAACTATCAATAAAAGGCTTTGATGGAGGTATCAATGAAAAGTGTTAATGAAAATTAATAATTGAGATCATCAATGAAGAGGCCTACATAGTAAGGACAAAAGATGCTTACACAATCACCGTTCGAGATTACATGCAGATCATAGAGGTGCAGAGATTTGTGAGAATGAATGAGGCAACCAAATGCCTCGATGGTCGATGATGAATATGAGGATCCCATGAAAACGATTAACTGTAGATGGGTCACAGTCAAATGAAAGTGTGATATCAGGTCAATCAAAATTAAAAATTTTAAGGGTGTCCTATGGGCAGAAAAGTGAATCCTAGGCCATGGCTCTAATGCAATGTTAAAGGAAAGAGAATCAAAAGAACTACATATTTACTCAAATGTCTTTCTAATAAAAGCATGTCTGCCTATATGTAGGTAAGAGAAGAGATCAATAAATAAATACAATAATACGGAAAAAATCATCAATAATGAGAAAATATGGCAATAAATAGTATTGATTCCTACTATAAATAATTTAAGCAATGTGATAATTTGGATATGATAACACTAATAATTAAAGCCTATCCACAACATAATATTATTCCATTGATTATCACAGAAACATAATTTGTGTAAAGCACCTCGGGATCTTACCTTATTTTTCATGCCTTTCCCTGGTATTTGTGTCACGTGTAGAAATTGAATTGGTGTGTGTTTTCCTTCTTAGGGAAAGGCCTCTTCTATCACATAGAAAATAATTAGTTGTTATATTTTTGCTTCCAGATTAAAGATGTCTCTTGTTCCTCTTATACCCTCTCAATTCTAGGGTCCTTAGAGGATTGATGGCTTCAAGATGCACAAGAAATTTTCTATGTGAGGTGAAGTTGATTGTGAGATTATTCTTGACTTTCTTCTTTGTGCATATAGTTTGCACACCACAAAATATGACTTCTATGTTAATGGATTGGACCGTCTCTCCTCTCCCATGAACTTAGAATTAGTTGAAGTTAAACCACAAAAATATCAATAACTTATGTGGGGCGTTCCTCTTTCTCCTTTGTGATAGCTTGAAGTGTCTCATTCTTGATGCTATTGACGCTTCCCCCTCCATTTGAGTAAAACCAAAATTAAATCCACTGAAAACATTCCAATAGCATTGCAATATATATAAAAATGCATTTTAACTGACACTTAACCAACAGAACCTGGGTTTAATATTGTTAATGAAGAATACCAAAACCCAAATAATAAAATGAAGAATTAAAAGGGAACATGTGCTAACCTGTTGTGCTCCGCGAGGAACCTTCATCATTGACATCCATCGTGTTCCACCTATATGGATTGTGAATTCAGAGCCCTAGCATAAATAGATAACACCAAGTACATAATAAATGAAGTTGCCACAAATCATAAAACTGCTCGAGAGGGATTAGCTTGAAACTACGTCCTCGCTAACTAAACACGCTAAGAAACTCACATTTTGACCAAGAATGTTATTAACTGAGCAAGAACAAGCTATGTTAGTTGAGTGAGCGATTCCTGGAAAAAAAAACAACTAGCTAAAACGAAGGAATCATTGGGATAAATAAAAATGATGATCATTTCGAGCTTTGATATTCAATTATACTTGAAATTACCTTCATTTCTCGCATTAAGAGGGCTCCAGTAGCTCCCATGGCTGGAGAAAGACAGGTTGAGGGCAAATTCAGTGAAATAATAAGAAATATATTTCCAAAAACAGAAAACTGTTTGTGATACAGCGGAATACAGTGGAGAAAGGGTCACAGATTGGAAAGCACGCTGGACGCGGTGAATTTCCTTCAACCGAGATAGAGCCATGGATCACTGAGTTTGAGAATGGAAAGTGGTTTTACAAGGTTAGTGACGATAGCGAGGGTTAGGGTTTAAGAATGTCGAGTTTTCCGTTCGCCAATGAACCAGAATTTAAAACCCAAACCTTGCTCAAATTTTCTTAGAGGCGTTCAGGTTTTGTGTCGCAGCATATAATATTTAAGTATTAGAATTTAGCAAATGTGCTTTAACATTGAATTTATTAAATTCTGTAAATTTAATAGAATTATTTGACATGGCGAAGTTAAATCTACTTGTTCCTTGGATTAAATATTTACGAGATTTATAGTTCAAATCTGAGGAATCTGAATTTACGACATACAGAGATTTGTTTTGTCCAAAATGACCATTTGATAGGATTTCACTTAAATCCTGGATTAAATTCGCTGTCGGACAACCCCTAGATTCATACCGCCCAATTATAAGGGATTTTTACACACACACATTGAGATATATATATATATATATATCATCATTTATATATTTCACACCTCAAATTTTTTATTTACATATAACAAACCAAAATTCTTACTTATTCATAAAATATGACACTATGTTACATCTCTGTCATATATATATATCATCATTTATATATTTCACACCTCAAATTTTTTATTTACATATAACAAACCAAAATTCTTACTTATTCATAAAATATGACACTATGTTACATCTCTGTCATATATATATATCATCATTTATATATTTCACACCTCAAATTTTTTATTTACATATAACAAACCAAAATTCTTACTTATTCATAAAATATGACACTATGTTACATCTTTGTCACGTACACTGTTTAAATATCAAGCTGAGAACGAAAAATAACTACAATATAAGGGGATTTGTGGTGAGGGGTGGGGGTTGGGGTCTTTCTTTTAATGAGAGAGATTTGGGATAAGTAGTCGATGGAGAAGTCTGAGTGATGATTAGTGAACTAACAAACCTCTAGATAATATAGAGCTGTTTCGAGTCTTTTTGTATTGCTTGGATACAAATTACTCTTGAGATTTAATCCAAAAGGAGCTACTCTTCTCCTTCTTTCGCTCTTCATTTGTGATCACGGAACGTCTAGATCGAAAGGCTTTTTCTCTACTAAACTAAACTGCTATGAAGTTTATCCATGTTATTGTGGTCAGAAAAATCAAAAGATTTTGTGCATTTTGTTCTTAGTTTGTTGAATTGTTGTAAGGTCGTAGTTTCCCCATACATTTCTTCTACAGACTATGGCGTATGATATATTCAAGAACATTTTTAAAATGTTTTTAGATTGAAACACCACCTCTTTAAGGAAATCTTATTAGTGTCACATATATTACACAATCCTTGGCTTTGATACAAGATATGACTTTCCAAGTGTTGACCTAAAACTAGTGTTGCCATTGAATAGTTAATAACACATGCTAAAGTGTATCCACAATAAAAGTAACAATTGTTTCAAACTACTTATGTTTTCATAGGTTGCTTACATGCTATGTCTTCAAAAAATTGTGTAGTCCATGAAATAATAAGACTTCCTATGCTCTAATATCATCTAGAGATTAGTGAATCCTTCAAGTACTTTCATCCCTTAATCCTAGATTTCCTAATATTACGATAACTCCATCTATATGCAAACAAACTTCAGCTATAGTAAACATGATATTAGGAAGATTATGAGAATAACAACTATTCACAATACGTCAAATACATACACAATGCAATTCTTCCTCTAACGAATTGAAATTTTCTTTTTTTTTGTTTTTAGTCGCTCTTTTATAGACGTTGCAAATGCATGTACTATGAATGAGTAATATATTGGAGGCAGGTTATCATTATAAAGTTGTAAAGCTTATTGATTGAATCAAATTTTCTATAATATGTAAATTAATAAGACATTATTTTAATTTCTTTATTTAAAGGCTTAAAAAAAGTTTAACATGATTTGAAATTAAATTTTGAAAAATGAGTTAAACTTATTCATCAATTTCAAGGATTGACAAAGATCACTGTTGTGATTTTTTTTCTTATATATTGTTGGGCGTCACCATAAATCTAGAAAGAATTCTATCAAAATGATCGGATCTGACGGTCAAAAAATAATATATTATCCAGAAAGAAATAAATATAGCTTTAGAATGGATCTATTCATTTGGATGAGAAAAGTCTTTGGGATTTATGGATTTATGAAACCAAGATTTTTCCCTTACCTTACATGTGTAAAATAAGGTTTGTTTCAATTGTGGTGTCTCGTACCCATAAGGGCAAGCCTTCATCGTTAATTACATCTTTAGAGATGCAAGCCCTATAAAAACCCTCTTTTAATGTGATTGATTAAGTTGCCAGAGACTAGGCTTTCATGATTTTAGAGTCTGAATTGGAAGAATTAAGTTTTAAGAGATGAGACTTACGATCCGGCGACGACATGTCATGGGAATGACCCATGATATTGAATAGGGTTTGATTTTAAGAGTATTAATCGAAGGAACTGATGATGGATTTGAACTGATCAGATGAGGTCAAAAGATAAATGATGGATATAAGATTTGATTGACAGAGACAATTGAAAACCATAGGCTAAGAATAGAGTTAGGTAGGAAATGATTTCTAGCTGTGAAATAAGACACTGTGCTCTAAAAGAAGTTCTATAGGAATACCTTAGAATAACCATGTCTTTTTGTCATCTCGGGAACATTGATATTTATCAATTATGTCCAGCCACATAACTTGGAATCCTTCTTGAATGTCAGAGCATGGATGATTCGTAGTTTTGAAGCAGTGAAATACTTTCGTCAGAAATCATGAGTGACTTCATTCTAAGGTATTCCCTCCAGTCTCAAGGGGTAGGTTTGTTATTTTACATGTTCTAGTCCTTAGCACTAACTAGGTGCCTGAACAAACCTAGGCTTATGTACTTAGATTAACCTAGGGTAGGTTTGTGGCTCTAGGTTTTCTGTCTAAGTTATCTAATCTAAGGTTCATGTCAAATGTATCCTAGGTTTCGTTCTTGTTCTTTATCTTGGTGCATTTTAGATGTTATTTAAAGTTCAATATTTGCATTAATGATTTGTTTGATCTCTAGAGTTATTATCGACTTTAGAAATTTTATTCCTTTTGTAAGTAGAAGAATTTAACATAGAAGACAATTCTTATGTGTTTACATATCCGACTCCTTACGTTTGATAGTTATACCATGGTTGAGGTCTTTTATATTAAGCGAGGAAATAGTCACAAAAAATGATAAATTATAGGATAAAATTAGCACTATACTACTAACAATAAAGCCAAGGAGAAATACAAGCAGTCACGTTATAGATGTAAGACTAAACAATTGATTATTTGAACTTTGGAAGCAATTTCTACATTTCTAAATTAAAAAAAAGGGTATTTAAATACATACCACTCAATTCTTTTGTATTTACAAATCTACACTTCACATTTATACCACTCAAATCTTTCATGTTATATAAAAATCATCACAATTTTAACTTTAAAAAAGTGAAATACACATTTTCATTAAGCACGGCAAAAAAAGAAGTTTAGATATTAGACATGCAAATGTATAGGAATTGAGCGGTATGTATGTAAATTTGTCATTAAAAATATATTTATATGAAGCTAATTATAATCAAGTATTTTATCAAAGTAAGTAGAGAAAAAACTATAAATAACATAAAATTTAATTGTGGTCATTTACATACATACCACATTATTTCTATTTATTTATATTTAAAAGTTAAAATTGCTTATTTACATGCATAAGCCTTAAATCTTTAAAATCACATAAAAAAATTACAATTACTATTTTTTTTAAAAGTGAAATACAACCTTAATGCATAAATTTATGAAATCAAGGTGTTATACGTGTAAACATCAACCTTAAGATGTTATATATGTTAATGCATAACAATTGGTGGTTTCTATGTATATTTTCCTATATATATATAAAGGATTGGCCGAAGGCTATCGACGAGCCCCGGCCATCCCTAGGTGTGTTAAATATTCGAGTACTACGCTCTACACATGAGGGATTCGAACATGTAACCTGAGGGAACTTAGGATCTTCAAAGAGGATGATGAAAGA